GCACATCGTGACTAATATTCCATGCAGTCATGTTCCTGCCTGTCACTTTCTGATGTGGTTTTTGTGCAGCTGCAGGAAGGAGTTCATTTAACCCCAGCCAGGCACCTGACAATGTGAAGGGAAAGGCCGCTTGTGCTTGGAGCACTGTTCTTAGCAAGTGAACTTTCTGGAATAAGGATTGCCCCCAAATTGCTGTGATTTTTTTTTTTTTTGAGTGGCAGCCATAGGGGATGGGAGCTAACAGCAAATCGTTAGGGCAGAGGGACACAGGACAAATGGATGTCTAGCTGAGCTCTTGAAGGCTGTTGCTTAGTGGCGGGGGGGAGCAAAACATCTTCTTGCCTTATTGGCATTTTTTAAGGAGGGAGTGGAGAAGCTGGGAGTGACAGGGCATCCTCTTATGAGATGTATCTGTTTTGTTACGAACGTCAGCAGTGCCTCTCCAGAAATTCGATTCCAAGTTTAATGAACGTCTGGTAGCGTTTGCGTGTTCTGCAGCCAGGGAAAATGTGTCTAGCTGTAATTTTCAGACTCAGTCATTGAACTAACAAGGTGTGACCTCTGTTTCTGAGAGCTCGGGCCACTTACATGCCCATGACAGAGGTGCTATAAAGCCATGCCAGGTAAGAGGCCTGTATAGGGCACTGGTTTGTTTTCGGTATGGTCTCTTGAAAAGAATTGGGCAGTGTCCAGTGCTGACCTCAGTCTTTTTGTGGACTAAATTAACATCTTTATTCTGCCTGGCAATGTGGGCCAAGAAGAATTCTAAAATGAATGCAAGAATTTGTGGTGTGCAAGATGTCTGAAAGTCCCCTCAATTGTTTGTGTTTCATCGGTGCGTTGTTACAAATGGGCCTGTGTAACGCAGAGGAGGGTCTGCGAGCCCTGACAATGTGAATGGTGTAGCAGGAGGGGCTGTGCTGGGGCCCTTTTAAGTGGGGGAATATCCATCTTGCACTGTTGTTGGAAGTAATTATGAATCTGTTTTCATTTGAGGAAAGAAAAGCCCAGTAGATGTCATTTCATGTTTAAAATGTGAGGCTGAGGCATAAATTAGCGCCCTGCTGCTACTGATGCACGTAGGAGTCATGAGCTTTGAAATAGAAACAGGCCCAAATTCTGAATGTCACTGGCTGTACAAAAAAAAAAAGTCATACTGGGAGGTGATTTTTGGGCTTGTCTGTTTTCATGATACTATACTCCTAAAAGAAAAACTGAAAAAACTCTTTCATCCTTTTCAGTGTAGAAAGGGTAAAAAATCCTGCCTTCCACTCTGGGCATATCCAGCCTCAGGTTTGCTGCTTTAACAGGAGGAATTATCTTTGGAAAGAAATAAAGTGTACATTGGGAGCTCTCACCCCTTCACTGAGAACACATCTTCTTTCCTCAAGACCAGGCTGGGCAGAATGTCTCGCTTTGAGAATTAGGACCAGGACCCTCGCGTGCTGGGCTCTGCCCTCTGCTTTTGTTCTGTTGCTTCGTAAGAGGCATCAGGTCCAGTCTTTTGACTCTCTAAGCTCTTCTGTACCTGTAAGTTGGGGATGGTGATAGCTTACTCAGTGGTGATGTTTGAAGGAGAAGTTGGTGATGGTTGAAGCCTCAGTGGTGAAGCCATCGAGGGGCTGGTGACAGCGCAGCTCCACATCTGTCGTGGCTTATGGGTGCAGGGTGGTAACCTGCCGATGGCGGAGATGCCCGCAACTGCGGTGGCCTGGCATAGCAGGAGGCTCCAAGCAAGCAGAGCAGAAACAATGGCTCAGATAAACACTTGCAGATGGTTGCAGGGCAGTGGAAGAGCTGCTGGCTCTGAGGCGCCTTGCTGGGCTTCCCAGAGAGATTCTCAGCCGGGGATGGGCAAGAAAGCTGAGACCTGAGCGTTTTTCAGAAGAGACTGTGGCAGGGCCTCGTCTATGGGAGGTGGGAGTTGGTGGGAGCTGCTCAGAGAAGGCAAATTCACTCATCTGATCCTCGGGGGTGTCTTGAACAGCGTGGACTGCCTTGGCTGTAGGCAAGCCTAGGCTCCCTTTCTCCAGATGCTTTTTATTGCTACTGTATGGAATTAAATAGAAAGGAATTAAGCAGATTCTTATGTGTGTTCCCTGTTCATTGCAGATTCCCAAAGGACAGTTTTAGTCTCTGTGGTGGGTAAATAGGGCTGACCCTCTGAGTCCTGCAAGCGAAGGCCCAGTCTGAGCACCAGAGGAACGCGCCTGCGTGCCAGGAGAGGTGAAAGCACAAGGTCTGGCACTGGAGAAGCTCGCCTGGGGGGGGGAGGAGGCAGGAAGGATGTAAGTGTGTATTTAGGCCGGCTTCAAGGAAAGCTGCAAAGAGGCATTGGCATTTATATACAGGACTTAACATGTAGGGTTGTTTTTTTTTTCCTTTTTTTTTCCCCCTCGTTAAAAAGACCAGGTTCAGTCTGAGTAAAAATTGGCCTTTCCTCAGAACTACTCAACTTCTGTCCCCCTTGTTGTGTTGCTGGCTGTGCCGCTGCTGTGGCCTCCCGCAGCAGACAAACTTGAATGCTAGGTGTAAGGAAACCATAGGAAACACTCGCTTCCACCCTTTCTCTTTTTTGTGAGGCAGCTTTTTTTATAGCCATTGTCAGTGTGTCCAAAAGTAGCAAAGAGCTTGGAAGGCCACTCTGCATTTCTTCTTCCTTTTGCAGGTCAGATTGAGCTTCTCCCCGTGTTCCCTTCCAGTAAGTGGGCATACTGGTATTTACACAAGTAGCCTAGAAGTCAACAGATGAGAATTATTGGAATGGAGAGAAAAGGGGGCCTGTGTTCTTTTTTGTTTCAGACCTTGGTAGATGCACACTTTGCCTCTTGCACAGCGCTGTGAGGCCGCATGGAGAACCTGCCTGTGGAAGAGAACTTCAACACCAGAGGTTGCTGCCTGGGTCCCTGTGCTGCTCAGTTTAATGAGGCGTGATGGCTTTTGGCAGGTTTCCGCCTGGCTGCCACTCCACACCACTGCCTCTCATTAGGTGGGACGTTTTTAGGCGCTGGATTGAATTTACTTCCATCCCGTGCAGACCTGGTGGTGGTCTGCTTTTTACACACTCCAATTTACAGAGCTAGCGCCAAGCTACTAAATTATTAAGCTGGGGTTTTAATAGAAACCCCTGTGTAGGCTTAAATTGTTTCCACTCTATTTAGAGTTTCCTGCTCTGCTGGTTTTTATTTTGTCCCATGCATGAAAGTGTGGAGAGAGGAATTCACAGGAAAGCACGCAGGCAAAGAGGAAGAATTCGGCCTGAAAGTGCTAGAAAGTACAGACGAAATAAAAGGTTAATTGGTACTGTGTCCAGCTCTGATGGAGATGATAGGGGGGAAAAAAAAAATGCTTCCTAATCCCCATGGCAGTTCAGCGGAAACTTGTGTGTTTGTTTTCAGTGCTGTTTGTAGCTTAGGTTTCTCAATAAAATATTTTCTTGCCCGACTGTTTTCATCTTGACCCCTTCCCTGGGGCTTGAAAAAGATGTTTGTAAGCAAACACCGCTCCCCTGGTTTTTCCCCCAGTGTCAAACGCTGCTGCTGCCAGCGGGACGGCAGTGCTCAGTGGGGTGGGAGTTCCCCCTCAATGGGGGATCCCCCTTCCAGCTTTGCACTGCTTCCACCCAATCCTCCCCTTGCTGCAGGCTGTCCCCTACAGCCCCGCACCACTGTGGGCTGGGTCAGGATTACACTTGCCCAGTGAGTACTGTGTAGGTCAGACCTGGTCAGCACGGCTTGTTTTTAAGCAGCACAGCGATAAGTTTGATTTGTCCCTGATGACAGGTACGGTCGCTGTCCTCCACCGAATGGGTTGACTCTGTCACAGAGTTAAAGTGAGGGATGTTGTTTGAACCAGGGACTCCTGGACTACCAGGCGTCCTCAGCAGTGATTCCATGAGGATGCTTCATCATGAGCGGTGACCTCCTTCCTCTGGGGGTAGTTCCACACTGTGGGCATGCACCGAGTCCCAGGCGAGGGCACCGCTTTCCACCACGTCAGAGCGTGGTTGCAGGATAGGTTCCAACTGCTCAGACATACTGGTCTGAAGAGCCATCGTAGCGGAGCAAGTGGGGTTGTTGAGCACAGCTGCAGCCACATGCAGCAACCGAGCTTCAGGTGTGCGCTTGAGGGCTTGGAGCAGATCTATTACCAAGGTCTCTGAATACATATGGTTTGTCTTACAAGGTGTAAAACAGCTTAAACCATCTGAGTTGGCTCACATGTGTACAGTACTAGCAGCTATCGGCTGAATCCCGCCTGGAGTTTACAGGTCTGGCTGAAGAGAAAGTTGGGCTGTGAATTATAAAGGCTACCTTCGTCACTCAATGGCAGGAATAGCACTGCAGTTCCTGTCATTGTCATCACGCTAGAGCCGTGTTTGGGTACTTACTGTGTTTAATTGCACGGCTGATTTACTTAATGTCTCTCCTGGGGTCATTCATAACACATTCATTTTTAGGATTCGGGGAAATCAGGGACGCTAGCAATCCATTGTGGTTCTCTCCCAAGACTGGAGTTTTCCAGACAATGATGGCAATAACAGCAGTGGTTTAGTTTCAGAGTAATCTGGCTAAGCTGATGAAATTAGCACTGGCAACTATGGTAGATGTAGATCTTAATGCTTGCACATGAATGATCTCCACTGAAAATATAATACAGGTGTAGGCAGAGGCCACAAGTTCCCTGGGTTTGGATAACTTGGAGGATGTGTGCATAGTTTATTGGGAAATCCCTGGCAGTGCCTGTAAATAAAGAATTTTCTGATCGGCGTTTGGGTGTAGAACTGAGGTGGTCATACATCCTCCCTGGTGTACAGCCATGAATCATTCTGTTTCATGACAAACTTGTTGTGCCCCCACAGAGGAGCGCCTTTGTACCTGGCTGGTAGCTCCAGTGGGGCGTCTAACATGCTTCTCGGCTGCTTTTAGGAAAGACGAGGTGCTGAAAGGCCTGTGGCAACAGTCAACCTAATGCGCCTCGCTCTGCTTGTTTTTAAACAGATGGACCTCTCTGTGGAAACTCTTTATAGCTTCATGCAGGAGCGCCAGAAGAAGTATGCCAAGTATGCAGAGCAGATCCAGAAGGTCAATGAGATGTCTGCCATCCTCCGCCGTATACAGATGGGCATCGACCAGACGATCCCGCTGATGGAGCGGCTGAACAGCATGCTGCCGGAGAGCGAGAGGCTGGAGCCCTTCAGCATGAAACCCGACCGGGAGCTGAAGTCTTAGCTGTGACCCGGCGGGCTCCCCCTCCTCACCTTCCACGCTCCAGCGTTCAGCACAGACGCACTTCCAACGGGGCGGGCTGGCAGATGTTTGAAGGGGACGGCAGTGCTGCCTGACTCTCTGCCAGGGCATCGGAGGAAGAGCAGCGTCAGCTGCCAGAACTGCGCAGCCAGGAATCCAGGAGCTCCCCGGTCCCGACGTCTGGAGATGATGATTTACGGTTCTTTCATCTCCCTCCTCTTGCCCTCCTGTCTCCTTTACCACTACCACCGCCTGTGCCGAGACATTTGTTTCATTGCTGTGACTAGACTGGGGTTTACAGAGGAGGAGTTTTCTTTCATCTGATTTTTTTTTTTTTTTTTTTTTACTAGAAAAATTCAAAGGGATACGGGGTGTGACAAACCCTCTAACATGGCTTTTGTGCCACTGAGGTTTAGACGATTAGATGGCTGGCAGGTATTTCTGAGATCCCCTGGCCTTGGAAATAAGTGTGTTTTATAGGTGAAAGTGTGGGAGCCAGGAACTGGCTTATTAAAATCTGCCTATTATCATAATTAACATGGTTTGCATGGCAGGGTTTTGGCATGTCCTCCTCAAGGCTCCTGTTTTTATGGGCTCGCTAATTTATGAGGCTGTAAAGGAATAACTGTTCCAGATATATATGTCTGTTAATGTTAAGCAAGCCTTAGCGTTCCTCTCCCCCTTGCCCTGGCAATGTCCCTGTGCCCCAGCTGGTGGCATTTCGTGTCCCTCACCTTGCACAGTGATTCTGACGGGCACTGGCACCAACCTGTTCACTGCGCATCCCAAAGTTGGGACACGCGGTGGTTTTTTGGTTTGTGTTTGGTTTGTTTTGGTTTTTTAATTTATTTATTTTTATTGGGACACTCCAGTTATCTCGGTGCTGTCTTTTTCTACCAGAGGGATGCAGTTGTTTCTTTACCTTCAAGTGTATGGAGTTGGAGGGGGGAGATACGAGAAGTCCTCTAGGTCTTCTCCTCAGCTATAGCTGCCGTCGTGCCAAGAGCTTGTCTGAGCGCGCTGTTTTATGACTGAAACCACACGGCCCTTTGGGACCGCGCTCAGCAAACTGCTCCAAAGGCAACAAGGTGTTCTTGCCTTCTCCCAAGCCGAGGGCCCTGCTGGAAGGCAGGCAGCGTCTCCACGCCGCCCGGGCGCTGGGCTGGCCTGTAGGAGACTGCTTCATCGCCAAGTCTGCCACTGGCCTGCTGGCTGCAGGCGATTTGCAGCACCTCTCTGAGTTTTGGTTTCTTCCTGTATAAAACGGGGGGATATTCTACACGCTGCTGTAAAAATATTTACGAGTCTAGAATAAGGTTTAACAGCCCGTGTCGCCATTGCGTGGCAGCTCTTGTCTGCAGCAGAAAGGCCATGAAACCAGAAGCGAGGATTTTGCCTCCGTCAAGGGTGGGTTTGTGTGTGTATGTTAGTCCCAGGATGCTGTTGCTGGCGAGGAAGCTGAAGTGCCCCCATGAACCCCAAAGGCTGTTGTACATGAGGAGTGCAATTCCAGGGGTGAGGACGGCTGTCTTTGAGCGAGTCAGTGTGACAACCCATCTTCCAGTACAGCACAAGGATAGGTGACTTTCTGAAGGCAACTTGCTTCGATACCTCCTGGTAGTTAAGAGTACTTACTCAGCAAAAGATGGTCTCTAAGCATTTGGGAGTAAGAGCATGGTAGGTTTTTGCCGGTATTAATTGCTGCCTGGTGGCAGGAAGAAAGAGGCCGTTCTCTTGTTGCATTCCCAAAGGCCACATAGCCTAGAGTGAATTTTGTGATGTGGACTGCAGCCAGCGTAGATGTGTGTCTGAACCGTAGCGGTGGTTGGTCCTCAGGGCCAGCTGAACACTGTCTGAAAGCAGAGTCCCATAGAAATGAAGTCCCCTGGAATGATGCCCTGGGAAGAGCCAGTGACTGCTTGAGAGACGACAAGGAACTCTGCAGATTTTTCTAGTAAAGGCAGCAGAGTGGGCCTGGTTGTCTGTTGCTTCCACCCTGGAGTTGTTATGCAGTTGTACATACGTGGGTGTATGCTGTATGTTGAACGGGATATAACATCAGGCTTCCATCCTTGCTCGTGCATCCTGCAGTATTTTACACTTGGTTTGTTAAAAGCTTACATGAGAATTAACAACCCATAAAAACCTGCTTGTCCTCATTGCCCGTCACTGAAGATGTCTGCCTCCCGCCATCAGACACACCAGAATATTCAGCAGCTTTAAATAGCGGCTGCAGGCATTTTTGTCCTCCTTGTCCAGATGATGCTGTCTGGAAGTTTAGAATGTCCGACATTCAGCCGTCTGCCAGACAGGATCAGAGATATCCCACACCCTGGCGTGCTGGAAGCCTATACCGGTGGGAAGATGCTGATACTGGATCTCGAGGCGGGGGCTAGGCTGCAGATGCTCTCTCCTGTAAAGCTTCTAGACATTTGGCCTCGTGCTATTAAGTATCAGATCAAAGCATTGCCCCCTGCCGTGCTAATGAGGGCAAGTGAATAGTATTCCTATCCGAAAGCTGCAGGAGCGAGGGCTGCAAATCAGTTCCTTCCTTATTTGCTATGAAACACCTAGACACTGGGCTGATAATGGGAGAAAATGCTTGTTCCGATGAACACTGGCCTTTAAGCTTGTGGATGTGGTGCTGGGCCTCCCAGCTAGAGCTTTCTGAGCAGCAAAGGGTAAGCTGTGAAAAACGTCAGTAGCTTAACTAGAAAGAAATCAGAGCTGAAATGCGAAGGCCGACCTCTTCCAAAGCACGCAGGTCATCACCTTTGGTCCACAGGTGATGGTGTCTTGTATGGGTACTGTAAGATAGCGTGCACCCTCTAACTGTTCTCAAATGATGGTTTACAGTTTTATTTAAAACATAATCACTGGCTTCGTTAACTGTAAGTCTTTGGACCTCTCACCCGAGGGGAAGAAATTTCCTGCCACGTCATCTTGAGCTGCTGTTTGTTGCCTGGCTGTTCCTCGTTTGCTTTGCTCTGCACGCTGCTTTCAGCTTCATCGCAGATGCAAGTGATGCTCAAGGTGAGACTGTTGCTTCACTCCCTTTCACACTGGTTAGCAGACTTGAGATGTGACTGGAATTGCCTTTCTGCTTATGAATTTCCTTTTCCAAGCCAAACGCTGTTGGAGAAGGCCTCGGGTATCTCTCACGAATGTACTAGCTGTTACTTCTACCACAACGTTAGTGCTATGAACAAGAGAATAATCTGGCGTGCTCCACGGAAAACAACATTTCTGCCCTTTTCTGCTTTCTGAGGTGGCATGTGGTTGGGCTGGAGAACCTGGTGAGTCTCTGGGTCTGCAGTTCCCTGCTGGCCTGGGCTGCTCTGGTTCTTCCCCTGAATCTGCTGCTGCGACCCCCACTTTGTGCTGCTGCTCGTGCTTGTTGCGTCCTTCACAGGTCAGCGTGCCACACGCGCAGAAGGGGTTTGCTTTGTTGTTTCCGTTGTTTTTGTAATTTAATGCATTGACAGGGTGCTAGAATGCCAACCTATCTATCTGCAGGACAATTTCTGTGAAGATCAGTGAAGGGGATAGAAGAGAGTTGTGATTTTTTTTTTTTTTTTAAAAATACATGTATTTTAAATTAAATATATTTAAATATATTTAAATATTTAAAGTGTATTTTCCCCTCCTCCAAGCTTTTACACAGAAAGAGTAGAAATACACGTTTTCACAGGCCCACTCGTTGCATGAGCCAGCCCCTCTATCGGACTGCGTGCCAGTGGTTTCCTGAGGGAGTATTGCAACGTCCCTCCTGTTCCCGAGCTGCCAGAGTGGATTTTGATTACCAGCCTCGTGGCTGAGCGCTCCTTGGTTTACGGGTTATTATCCTGTTCGCAGACTTGCTCTGCTTTCAGCTGCCGATGTGCTACGTGTCCCACAGCTCCAGCATTAAAACGTTTGGTATCGCTCTTTTCCACGTGTCTTGTTTCTCCGATGGCCTTGCTTATTCTTCAGTTCCAGGGCACCACTTCTTCCTGTGACGTCTATGGACAGTACACACACCTTAGCGTGGGAGGTCGTATTTTGGCTTTTCTGTTTTGTATGCAGAACCCACCTTTGTGCCATGGAGATGGCTGGTTTCAGCTGCCCTGGGGCCACCTCTGGCCTGGGACTGGAAGAAAACCTGTGTCGCAGGAATGAAAATAAATGTTGGGTTTTTGGGATGCTGTCCCAATTGAGGTTGGCAGTGATGTCCAATTTAAGTAAATGATGTGCGCAGCAATGCTTGTGGCTGGCCAGCTTGTGACTGGGGTGGGACCGTAGTTAGCTGGCTGCCTCCCTTTTCTGTGCTGGTAGCCTCTTGAAGATGAAGAAGAGGGACTGGGATTGATGGACTCAGACACTTGTGTAAGACTGTAGCTTCCCTGCGCAAAGCGCTCGTGGTGTGAGGCGCTCTGCCTGGTTTGCCTGGGCACTTGCACCTTGTCTGCACCCAACAGCTCTCCTAAGATTCAGCGGGAAGACTAAACATGAGCAGCAAGGTATTTCTCATCCTTTTTTTTTTTTTTTTTTTTTCCCTTTTTTTTTTTTTCCCCCCCTCCACCTTTCCTCCCCGCCCAGAGACCCA